GGCCGGAGCAGACTTGCAGAATGTGCCCTTTGGAGATATAATTTATTATATATGCCTGAGTGGGTTTTTTTGTTTGTGTGTTTTTTAAAAAAAAGCTAAAGTGGATAAAGAGAAATACTTTTAACTGATGGTATATGGAGGGGATTATAATCAATGTAAGGAAACAAGTTATATGAATTGTTGAATGTGAAACTGATCATGTGCCCTGTAAACTTTCTCTCAATCCACAATAAAAACCTTAAATTAGAAAAACAAAACAAAAAAATACCCCACTGTTATTGTAGCTTTGTCTATTTCTTTATTGAAATGTATTAGAGTTTGCTTTATATATTTAGGAGGTCTTTCACTGGGAGAATAGATACTTATTAATTATGAAATAATGTTCACCTTTGTCTATTATGCTGGTTTTTGCCTTAAAGTTTATTTTATCAGAGATTAGTGTTGCTACTACTCGTTTCTTAGTATAATTAGCTTAGTACAGTTTTTTTTTCCATCTTTTGACTGTTAGTATGTTTTTGTCTGTGTGTTAAGTGTGTCTCTTGCATATAGCATATTGAATCTTGCTTTTTAAAAAATCCATTCTGCCTCTCTCCGTTTCTTAACTGGTGCATTTAACCCACTGACATTAAGTGTAATTATCGATAGGTATGGATTAATTGCTGACATTACGCGTTTTTGTGTGTGTGTTTGTGGTGCTGCTGGGTTTGTCTTCTGCATGTCTTCCTGTGATGAGTTCACGGTTTTTTTGTGTTCTTTCTTGTCAGTTTCTTCATAGTTTGAATGTTTCCATGTTCTTCTTGGATTTTCACTTTCTTGGTATGTTGTGAAGTATTAATTTTCTTTGAGGTTAACTTATATTCTATTAATTTTTCCCTCCATTTAAGACAGTCTATTTTATTCTGTAATCTACCTGACCTTCTTACCACCTGGATCTCTGTTCCTATGTGTTTACCTTCTTCCACACTGTAATTGTTTTGATCATAGGCTGACCTCCCAGATCCTCTGAACTTGTTCTTATCATTTTGTTCTGTTCTCAACTCTTCCATTTGTTAATTGACTTCTGGGTGGTGCTGCCACGTAAGTCAATCTCTGGCTGTTGGCTGTTCTTGTTGGTTCTCAGTCTATAGAACTGCCTTTAGGATGTTTTGAAGCACTGGGTTGACTTTGGCAAAATCCCTTAGCTTCTGTTTATCTTGGAATGTTTTGATTACACCACTGTATTTGACTGACAGCTTTGCTATGTAGAGGATTCTTGGTTGGCATTTTTTTTCTTTCCGGGTTTTATATGTGTCTCCCCATTGCCTTCTTGCCTGCATGGTTTCTGCTGAGAGATATGACCTTAATCTGATTTGTTAGCCTTTGTATATGTAACACTTCTCTTTTCCCAACTGCTTTCAAGAGTCTCTCCTTATTTTTGAATTTGGATAGCTTGATTATTATATGTCTTGGTGATTTTCTTTTAGGGTCTATCCTTCCTGGGGTTTGTTGAGCTTCTTGAATGCTTATCTTTTTGCTTTTCAGGATGTTAAGGAAGTTTTCTTCCAGCAACTCTTCAACTATCTGTTCTGTGGGCTTGTGTGATTCTTCCTGTTCCAGAATGCCAATAATGCTTAAGTATTCCTCTTCATGTTTGAACCTTACACCTTCTTCAGATTTTTTTATACTTTTTTTCTGCTTGCTCTTCTATCTTAGTAGTATTGAGAGATTTATATTCCGGCTCTCTGGTTCTGGCTTCTATCTCTTCAATTCTACTCCTTTGCCCTTTCAGTGTATTGTCAAATTCTGATATTCTTTTATTAATAGTTTGGATCTCTTGCTGTAGGTTTTGAATTGTTTCCAATGCTGTATCTATCTATCTGATTTGATTGTTCCTGTATCACTTTCCTGACTTTTTATTAATTTTTCTCAACTCCTCTGTAAAGTGTTTTGATATATTTCATTATCATTTTCCTGAATTCTTTCTCAGGCATTTCCAAAGCCTGCCCTCATCCAATATGATGTCTAAATCTACTTCCAGCCCATTTGTCTCACGGTCACTTTATCTTGTTTCGGGACATGTCTAGAGAAGTTCATCTGTTTCTCAGGCATATTCAGTAGTTAGCTGTGACCTTAATAGTTAGTTGAATGTAAGTTTTGGTATTTTATTATGCTTTCTGATTGCCTCCAGGTAGATGTGATCAGGAGATGGGCTTCCCTTTTCACTCTTCTTATTACTCAACTCTGAGTAACTGTCACAGGTGTTGGCTGCCTACCTGTTGTATAGCACCTGCTATTGGTTCTTGCCTGGATGGTGAACAAATTTGTCTTAAAAGAAATACAGCCAAATATTCCTTTGTAGGGGAGGATGGCAAGATTTTGTTTCACATACTCCTGATGAGAGACCAGTCTCTAAAGAAGAACAACACACTTGGTAAAATGGAGGGTCACTGGAAACGAGGAAGACATTTAATAAGATGGATGAAAACGGTGGCTGAAAACAGGCTCAAACATAAGAAAAACTGTGAGGATGGCGCAGGAGCAGGCAGCATTTTGTTCTGTTGCACATATGGTCACTATAAGTAGGAACCAATTCAACAGTACCTAACAAATAGCAGGTGTCTTACCAAGGAGCCCTGACGGCCCAGTGATTAAGCAATCAGCTGCTAACCAAAAGGTTTGTGGTTCAAATCCACCTCCAGCATTCAATGGTAAAAAGGATAGCAGTCTGTTACTGTGAAAATATACAGCCTTAGATCTCATTCTGTAAGGTTGCTATGAGTTGTAATTCACTTGATGGCAATGGGTTTAGTTGTTGTGGTTTTAGGTGTCTTACCTACCTTGCTCTTCATGATCTTTGAAGTGCCACCAGTATCCTTTGGAGGGATGATATCGACAGTATGACATAGCTTCATCAAAAGCTGACTGAATGCCATGCACTGCAGTAAGCTTGTAAAAAGAAATTCTCATTAGGTTAACCAAACTTTCCAAAATAAACATCATCAAAACATTACAGACAATAATTTCTTAGTTTTCAGAATCTAAATTTTTATCTAGCTGGGATTGTAGCATACACTGTTACTGAACTGGCCCCCAATAAACACTGTTTATTATCTAATACTAGCTTACACAAAACAAGGGAGTTCCTGTTTGATTCTTAGAAACTAAGTACTTCAATTAGAAGATTTTTTAAATTGGGAAGACACTTACCACTCTGGAATTTATAACTGACCCCAAGTCTGGTGCCTGATAAATCACTCCAGCAATGATATAGTAGTCAGCTAGCGGGATAACTACAACAGTGGAGAAAAAGGTGTTTATGAATAGAGCTGTGGGCACAAAGTACCAAACAGACCTAATTAAAAAATTGACATTCTTCCATAGTAAACATTAGAGCAAGACCTGGCAAACGATAAACAGCTTTACTGGAACAAAGCCATGCCCACTCGTGTACTGTTTTCTATGGTATTATGGAGTACTGGTGTGGCGCTGTGAGCTAATGCGTCAGACTGCAAATTCGTTTGAACCGCAAGGTTCAAGCTTACCAGTTGTGCCTCAGAAACCATATACAGGGTTGTTAAGCACTGGACTGTGAATCACAATGTGTGCAGTTCAAACTCACCAGAAAGCCTCATCGCTCTCCTCAAGAGAAAGATGAGGCTTTCTGTTCCTGCAAAGATTTAAAGCCTCAGAAACCTATATAGGGTTGCAATGAGTTTGAAGCAACTCAAGGGAGCTTAACAACAACAACAACAATGGTGTGGCACTGGATTGCTAACTTCAAGAAAGCCTTATGATTACAGGATTGCTATGAGTTGGAACTGACTCAATGGCACTTATCCTCATGACTGCTTTGGGGATGTTGAGTACTTGAGACCGATAAAGCATAAAAATATTCACTTTCTGGCCCTTCACAGAAGTCTGTCAAGTCCTATGGTACTGCAGAATCAGCACTGAACTGCAAACCAAAAGGCTGGCAGTTCAAACCCACCAGGGTTGCTATGAATCAGAATCTACTCCATGGCACTTCACAACAACAAAGCCTAGATCACTGTTTCTCAAATTTCAAAATGTATCTGAGTCACTCAAGGATCTTGTTAAAATTCAGTTCTTACTCGATAGGGATCCTGCATTCTAACAAGTTCACAAGTGATGCCAGTACTACTAGTCAATCACACTCTTCAGAACAAGACCTTAAAACACTTTGTTGATATCACCTTCAGAGTATTTCTCTAATGTCAGAGATACGGAAATTGAATAATACCCCGCTTCAAAGTTACTGGGTAACAGAACAAATAAAAAAATGAATATAAAAGAAGTCCTTGAATCACACAAGAACAAAAACAAAACACAACCAAAACCTTTGTGACACAGCAAAAGCAGTGTTCAGAGGGCAATTTATGCACACATACAAAAATAAGAACAAACCAAAGTAAACACCTTAACTCAACATCTCTAACAAGTAGAAAAAGAGCAGCAAAATAAGCCTACTGCCACCAGAAGAAAAGAAACAAAAGGTTACAGAATAAATACATAAAATAGAAAACAGAAAAATAGAAACAATAAATAAGATGGCTATTTAAAGGTATTAATGAATTAAAAAAAAAACACTGGCAAATCTAACAGAAGAAAAGAATCAGAAGTTACAAATAACATAAATAATAAGTGGTATGTGTGACATCACGATGGAAGTAAAAAAGATAATAACAAAATACTATGAACAATTGGACTAAAATTTTTTGAAAATCTGGAAAAAACTGACAAGTTTCTAGAAACACACAACCTACCTAAATTAACACAGACTGAAGCAGAAAGCTTGAAAAGTCCAGATTCATTACAAGAAGAAATTTTCAAGTGATTTAAAAACAGTCCCAACTGAAAAACAGTCCAGGCTCAGATGATTTTACTTGTGAATTCTACCAAATATTAATTGAGGAGCTGACACCAATTCTACTTAAACTACATCAGAATATTAAAAAGGATGTGTGCAAAAATAATGTGGGGGCACTTCCGGTTTGGGGGCAGAAGAAGCCGAGACAGGCAGAGGAGGCTTCCCAGTGGAGGCATGAGAAAACTAGGGATGGCATTTTATCGGAAGAGTTCCAGTGCTTTGGATGTAATATAAAGAGGGGGGGGGGGGGAGAGGTCGGTTTTCGGCAGCAACAGGAGGACAAATCTGACTGTGGTGGGAATACACAGACATTTCTGAATCAATCTGGATGCTGCCTGTGGGTCCTTTAGCCTGGGCTGAGAACAAAGGATGGGGCCACAGCCAGGCTGATACAGCACTGAAGCCATGGAGCATCGACTATAAAAAAAGGTGTAATGATGACATTTTCCACTTTTCTTTCCTCTGTCATACCCTCTGCCTATCCCAGGCAAATTTGGGTGGGTGGCGGCACACCCCCATAAAGTGTTGTGAGCACAGGGTACAATTTTCCCATGGTGCAAAAAGGAAATCCCTGAAAGTCACAGTGATACCACAAGCTAATCCTCTGTCTGCATCTTATGACATCTGACTCTGGTATTTAGCCTAAAGTTGACCTGAGCGGGACCCTTAATTCCTGCCTTGCCTAACAAAAGACAGCAGGTTTCGACATACAGCCAAAAGTACTTGCACTTTGTAAAACTCCAACATAAAACACAAGAGCCAAGACCAACTACGATAGAAAAGGATGCAGCTATTTTGAGAGTTAAAGGAAAGTGCTACAGAAGTAATCAAACAAGATAGACATAGCATTGGAAACAATTCAAAACCTAAAAAAAGAAGTCTAGATGATTAAAAATAAAAGTATCAGGAATGGACAATACACTGAAATGGCAATGGAGTAGAACTGGAGAGATAGAAGCCAGAACCAGTGAGCTGGAAGGCAAATCTCTCAGAGTACTGTTAAGATAGAAGAACAAGCAGAAAAAAGGGGGGGAAAATCTGAAGAGAGTCTAAGAACCATGCTGGATAACATGAAGAAGGAATAACTTAAGAATTACTAGCATTCCAGGACAAGAAGAATCACAGAAGTTTACAGAGGAGATAGTTGAGGATCTTCTGGAAGAAAATTTCACTAACATCTTGAAGGATATGAAGACAAGCACTCAAGAAGTTAAATGAACTCCAGGAAGGACAGATGAAAAAGAAAAGCACCAAGACACATCATAATTAAGTTCTCCAAAATCAGAGACACGGAGAGAATCGTAAAAGCAACTAGGGAAAACAAGTGTTATTTATAAAGGCAAACAAATCAGATAAAGCTCTGATCTCTCAACAAAACCATGTAGGCAAGAAGGCAATGGGGAGGCATATATAAAAGCCTAAAAGAAAAAAAACTGCCAACTAAGAATCGTCTATCCAGCAAAACTGTCAATCCAACAAGATGGTGCAATAAAAACATTCCAGGATGAACCGAAGCTAAGAGACTTTGTCAAAGCCAATCCAGCGCTTCAAAACATCCTAAAGGGAGTTCTTTTTAATGAAAACCAAAAAGAACAGACAACAAGCAGAGACAGACATAGCAACACTCCCTGGAACTCAGCCGACAGCAGATTTCAGAACAGAACAAAATTAAAACAATGAGTTCAGAGGACCTGGGAGGTCAAGCAAAGATCAAAATAATAACAGTGTCAAAGAAGGACCATAGATCCAGGTGGTGAGGTAGATTGCAGGAAGCAACTTTTGTTGTTAGGTGTCATTGAGTCAGTGTTGACTCATAGCGACCTTATGCACAAGCAGAATGAAACGCTGTCTGATCCTGGGCCAACCTCACTAATGTTGCCATGTTTGAGCCCATTGGTGTTGCCACTTGGCTAATCCATCTCGCTGGGAGTCTTCCTCTTTTTCACTGACCCTCCACCTCACCAAACATGATATCCTTTTCCATCGACTGGTCCCTCCTAACAATATGTCCTTAGTATAATAGACAAAATTTGGCCATATTGGCCTGCAAGGAGTACTCTGGCTGCACTTCTTCCAACACAGATCTGCATATGAGGTTATTAAAAATACCATGACTTGGGTCAGGTGCACCTTAGTTTTCAAGCTGACATCTTTGTTCTTCAACAATTTAAAAAGGTCTTGTGCAGCAGATTTGCCTAATGCAATACGTCACTTGATTTCTTGACTGCTGCTTCCATGAGTCTTGACAGTTGATCCAAGAAGAATGAAGTCCTTGACAATTTCAATCTTCTCTCGGTTGATAAGAATGTTGTTTATTGGTCCGGTGGTCAGGATTTTTGTTTTCTTTACAATGAGATGCAATCCATATCCAATGCTGCGGTCTTTGATCTTCATTAGTGAATATTTAAGACCTCTTCACTTTCAGCAAGCAAGGTTGCATCATCTGCATATCACAGGTTGTTAATGAGTCT